TGATAGAACTATTATGCTGGCTTTCAGTGATAAGCTTGATCATTATCATGATAAGAACATTGCCGATAAAAGCACTGATAAGAGCTAAAAACAAATCAATTACAAAATTCCCAATCGTATGATAATGCGATCACTGTAAACCTTGACATCTTGATAGTTAATGCGCAGTTCAACAGAGTGCACTGGTATATCATCAGTGTCTCTTGCTCGAATGATGCCCAAAAGTCCTTTCATTTTTTGCAGTGAATATGAATTCAAATAATCGGCCAGCAAGTTATTCGAATCTTCGACATGTTTCCGATTCGACGCTCCTCGCCGATAACGTTTCTCTGCATAATTCTTGTTTTTCTGCAAATTTTCACCATCATCATTTCTGAACAAATTGCCGTGCAAAACAATCGAACAAATTTATGAGGAAAATCAGAAGAAACGAGCGAACAGAAAATTGCTCAGAGGGATGAATAAATCATGATCTACAGTACGAACAGGTCGAGATCTGAGAACGTGCGAATGAAATAATGTAAACACCGAGAAAAATATATCGATAGATCACTAAATGATCTTGTTTGTTCACTTCAGAATTCGCACATGAATAATACATGAAAACAAAGCGATAGAAGGGGTAATTTTTTCGACATTGGTTGTATACACTGTCCACATGAACACTTTGTTGAACATCTCAAAAAGCACACTCATCGCTGCATGTATTATCAGTACGAAATTCACAGCTGATGAATGCTGCTGCTGATAGTGATAAAATTTCTCATGATTTGTCCATGTTTCTTCTTTCAAATTTGTTCGCTTCAGTTGCTTTACGCTCTTAATACTGTTTTGTGACGAAACATTTCGAAATTGAACACTGTCTATGTTCAAAAACTGATCCGTTATTTGATTTACGATATTTTCGCACGATTGAAGCAACTGAACTGTGAGCAAGAGTATCATACGTTTTCAACCAATGGTAAAAAACAAACCTTTGTTTGTTTATTTCTAAACACATTCCACTTATTCAACTTCCAACATCGAAAACCATCAGGATCATTGTGAACTGAGGCAGCTGAAGGCTTCAAGCAATGATAGCCATGAACTGAAGGTACTAGTGGCTTCTGAAATGGTCAAATTTTAAGGAAGAGAAAGAAAAAAATTTCAAATTACAGACAATTGTCAGTACTCCTAAGAATGAGATAGATATCATCGTGGATCAGTTGAACAGATACAATGTGCGTAATATTTTTCATCGAATATTTATGACGTCTATGTAAGAATTTTTTGAAGTTTCAGAATAGAGAGGGCTGCTGCTCAAACATTATCCACCACTGTATTCAACTTGAAATCTTACCAAGTCCGACCTCAACTGTGTATCAGTGTTCAGAAGCTGTGTGATGCGTTCATATCCAGCTGAAAAAGGAACACTTGAAAATTGAGTGAAATCGCAGTTTGTAATTCAATCGAATGCTCATACCCATTCAGTAAGCTTTCGAAACATCAATCTATGCATTTGAGAATGAATGACGAGCTTAGGTTGATGAGGGAGACGGAAGAAATGGAATGATGCGGCTTTTCAAAAACCAGAGCTCATTCAAGATCAAAATACTATTATCATTGATACCGATCAAGTTTCTAACCTGACTGCGACTCGCTCAAACGTTGAATATCAACAGAGTCATTACTCGTTAATCGCACGTGCTTGTTTGGACTCAAAAATTGCATTGCGTTTGAAATTATCACTGCAATACTGTGAAGACATAGTCTTGTGTGCAAATTCAGACATATATTGAATTGAATTGGTCAGAATCGTTCGAAACATTTCGCAGTCATACTT